TTTTTTGGTGTATATATATGATTCTTGGGGATACACATTTTGGAAAGTGGCTGCTGCTGATATTGCTTATAAATTTGCATCGTAAAAATCGCGCAAACATGATGGGCCTAACCCGAAGCCAGTCCTTGAGAAGCGGAGACTATTTGGAAGGAATGCTCAGCGACTACATGCGCGCCAAAAACAACAACAACAACAACAACAACTTCAAAATCCGGGCCCAAAAGGGTGCCTCGGCCAAGCTGGTCACGACCCTCACCTGCCTCCAATTCGTATTCGCCCTCTACGCTACCTCCCTACTCTACTTCATGAGCCCATCCATCGACCTCACTTCCCGAGTAGCCCATCAGTGGCGCCAGCTCAGCATAATCCCGGGACGCAATCAAATGACCAACTCGTCCCTAGCCACGTGCGAGCACGAAAAGATCGACTTTGAGCAGAAGAAGTCGAGCGACGCCCTCATGATCAAGCTCAAGACAGAGCTCTACAAGGAAATCCTCGACTTCCAGAGCACCAGCATAGGCACCGAGACTCTCCCCGAGCTCCTGGCCATGAAATCCAGGTGGGATATGCGCGGCGGGCCCCACAACACCCCTAAGGTGACCGTTATCTTGAACCACTTCAAGCGCAAGACCTTATGCGCGCAGCTCGACTCCCTCCTCCACCAGACACTACCCTTCCACCGCGTGTGGGTGCTCTCGTTCGGGAGCCCAAACGAAAAGTCGCTGAGAAGTATCGTGGATGGGTACAATGACTCGAGAATCAGTTTTATAAGCTCGGCTTACGATTTCAAGTACTACGGGAGGTTCCAGGTGGCCCTGCAGACGGAGGGTGATCTCGTCTATATACTCGATGACGATATGATACCCGGGAGAAAGATGCTGCAGATATTGTCCCACGTGGCGGGGACCAACAAGTACATGAACTCGGTCTTGGGGAGTATCGGCCGGATTCTGCCGTTTAGGCAGAAGGACTTTACTTTCCCGAGCTACAGGAAGTTCCGGTCCAAGGAGGCCGGGCTTTACTTGCCAGACCCTGCTTATGATATCACGGTTGATAGGATCGTCCGGGTTGATTTCCTGTCGAGCTCTTGGTTTTTGTCCTCAGAGCTAGTCAAGACGCTTTTTATTGAGACGCCTTTCACTTTCGCGACCGGTGAAGATTTGCATTTGAGGTATGAGTAGCTTGTTATGATTTCGTGTGTTTGAAACTAATTAGTCCTAATTTCTAAATACATGCTTGCATCAGTTATCTTATTTCAAAATAGCATAACAACCTCTTGAGATGCATTTATATTACAAGTATACATACCTCTGTTTTAATTCATTCCAAATACAAACACACACACATAGCAGCTACCAGCTCCAAAAGTACAGGGATGCTGGCTCGTTTGTGCTGCCGGTCGACCCGGATGATAAGGACACATGGGGCGACAGCGAACACCGCCTTGCATACGTGTCGGAGACAACTGTAATATTCAAAGACATAGTCCAGGTCCGGGACGACCAGTGGTGGAAGGCCCTCTCCACAGGTTACATTACCCAGTGGGCCGCCATGTACCCACAAACCATCGACGCTCTTTTCTACGTGCACTCAGCTGACGAGGTCAGGGCCCTAGCCCCACTAATCGAGAAATTCCGGACGAACAACTGGCAAGAAAGCCTACGTGGTCGTCCCGGGCGGGGAATACTTCCGGTGTGAGGATGCAGCCGCATTGCTCAAGTGGCCCAAATTGGTGTGCAAGGAGAGGCGGTTCAAGATTTTGGATCTCGGGGTTGGGGCCCTCTCAGAGGTCTCGGGGTCGGAGGTGCCAGTCGTGCAAGCGGTGTACGCCAGCATGAGGGGTTTGGTGAGGATTCACAACCCGAGCCTGGTGATTGCGGTCTCGGATTTAGACCCGAGCGTGGCCAAGGCTTTGAGAATGGCGGCCGAGGCTAAGGCAAACGGCTCATCAGTATTGGTGTTGTTGCCGAGGTCAAGTGTGCTGAAGGCTCTCTGGATGGCCGATCTTCGCTCTACGGCATTGCCTAGTAAGAAATAATAATTACAATCACATATTCGGGCTATTTTTTTAAATATTTTTAAGAAAAGCACAATATTTACTTTGCAGATTGGAAGCGGATGCGGCTCACCGTAAGCATCATCACGCAAAATCGTGCCAACTCCCTAACAAGGCTCCTCAAGTCCTTGGCCGACGCCTACTACCTAGGAGACGAGGTTCCGATCACCTTCAACATGGATAGCAAAGTGGACGAGGAGACCATAAAGCTCGTAAACTCATTCGAGTGGCCCCATGGCCCCAAGACCCTCCGGCGCCGCATCATCCAAGGCGGCCTCATCCGTGCCGTGAGTGAAAGCTGGTACCCTACCTCCGACGATGACTTCGGCCTTTTACTCGAGGACGACATCGAGGTCTCCCCTTACTACTACCTCTGGGTCAAATACGCCCTCCTTGCCTACCATTACGACCCACAGGTAAGAAGAAGAGATTCCCCAAATTGAAATATTTTTAAGTTCTAGTTGGTTTTACTAAGTGACTTACACAACACAGGTGTCCCTCCCGGAGCTCTCGTCCATCGCCCTCTACACGCCCCGTCTCGTGGAGGTTGTGAAAGAGAGGCCCAAGTGGAAGCCCACGGAGTTCTTCAAGCACATTCACCCGCACACACCGTACCTCCACCAGCTCCCCTGCAGCTGGGGAGCCGTCTTCTTCCCCAAGCAGTGGCGGGAGTTTTACATGTACATGAACATGCGCTTCACGGAGGACGCCAAGCAGAACCCCGTCCAGATTCCAAAGTCGAGGACTAACGGGTGGCAGGCCTCGTGGAAGAAGTTCCTCATAGACATGATGTACCTCAGGGGGTACGTTAGCCTGTACCCAAACTTCCCGGACCAAGCCAGCTTCTCCACCAATCACATGGAGCCGGGGGCCCACATCAGCGCCAAGGACAATGTGGTGAGGCACGACAAGACGGACTTCGAGGTGCCGCTGCTGAGGGTGGACTTCCGCAACTTTTTGCCCAAGGGGAAGCTGCCGCCGGCGTCCAAGCTGCCCTCGATCAACCTTTTCAACAAGGCAGTGTCGCTCAGGGGGCTCAAGGCGGCCGGGGCGAAGCTGGGGCAGGATGTGCTGGAGTGTGGCCCAGGGGAGATTGTGGTAGTCCATCAGGACACCGGTTTGCCTTGGCATTGTGCTAAATTCTGACCATGACCATGCATCATTTTTCCTTCAACTGTTCCGTTTTTCTTTTTCTTTTCTTTTCTTTTTTTTTTTTTCTTGGGAGGTTGGGGGAATTTTTTTCTTGTGCCACAGAAAGGTGATTCAACTGTAAACATGAGAATGGGACTTACTGAGACAACGTCTTTTTAAAAATATCAAATAATGACAATTTTTAATTAAGACACTTAATTAAACTCATATAATTATATTATGATGTTTCATACAAAATGTCATTAAGTTATGATGTCACGTACAAAAAGTATCATTAAATAATGACGTTTTATATGGGTTTACTTCTATGCGATTCATGAAAACTATATCTTAATAATATATTACAAATTACTTTTTACATATGACCTTTAATAATGTATTACAAAATGTTACATTATTTTGTAAATTTGACGATTTTTATGTCAAAGTATAATTACTTTATGACACTTATATAGATGCGTCGTCTTGTTAAACTGTTGATGAACAATGACCAACGTTCTTAATTATGAACAGGTGTTTAATGTGTATTATGTGAGTATACGACACAGTATGATATATAATATACAATATGTGATAACAAGGATAAAGTAATACACGACATCCCCGATCTTTTGGGAGATCGACGAGGAGAAAAGTTTTCCAACGGAATGACTAACAAATCATTTGTGTGCACAATGACAGCTGCAGGGTGAGCTGGTGTATGTTGGTATATGTGTTTCGTAATGTTTTGCTTGGCTAAGCTTGTTCATCTTGTTCTAAAATAAGGTGTCTAGTGGTCACCTTTATGCTGGAAAAAAGTAAGGGTAATGGTGATTGTGTGTCATTTCTTTGGCTAAGAGGAGGCGAATGGTGCCATGCAGGAGTTCATCTTTTGAAGACAAGACATATTTTTGTAGGTTTGTAAGAAATGACCGATTTGGACGGCCAGACGAGACCATTTGGACGATGCTGTCACCTATTTAGCGGTCTTACTAGTTATGTCTGTCATATCGCTTTCATACTCCGTAGAGCGATTTCCAGTCTATGAGATCTGCCTTGTGGCGATCGGGAAATCGGCTAGTCATCTTGTCCAAGTGCTGGGTCGCAGAGCCGGCTTTTGGGCCAGGCAGCAAAGGCTCCAGCCGAGGGCCTCCTTTTTTGGGGGGCCTCATACATATGTATTTTTTATATTATACATATGTATTGGGCCTGGCCCAATTCATTTACATAAACAAATTTAAGAGGTTGTTCATCTGCCAGAGACTTGCACAGTTGCTCTTTACACAACCAAACCCCAATTTCGTAAATTTCACCAAGGACTCGACAATTTAGTCGCTCAACGGCCAACGCCCTCCGCCTAACCACAACCGTCTCACGCATCGCCGTTGCCGGCCCTGAGCTTCTCAATCAATCGGGTAAGAACGTTTTCTATTTTCTAAATATTTTCATGTATGTGACTCTGTGTCTATTAAATTTGATTATTATGCTTTGATATTTTGCTTTGGATTTCTTTATCTCATAAGGGTGGATCTATATATTACTGTATTTCTTCGTCACCTGCTAGCCCAGAAATACACTCGCCCCTTCCTTAGGAAGTTAGACCGGTAGACGGATAGTAACGTTTGAAACAGTGAATGAGATTTGAAATGAAGATATATTTTCTTTCTCTGAGAATGCGTAGGACTCCAGGGTTTTCAGTATTCCATCTAGTTAGAAGTCCTGAAAATTTTGGTCAATTTGAATAATTAATGATTAATCTCTTTTTCTAACTTTTTTAATGGAGAATGAGGTATCATGGTCATCTTAACTTCTCAAATAGAATACATTGTTTTTGGAGCACTCAAGCAGCAATGATTCGAATTTTATTATTTGTTCAACCTGAATTGTTCAATTATGCTGATACAAATTTGATTATTTGTTCCACTTGGATTGTTTAATGAATGGCACAAGATATCATTTTTTTTTTGTATTTGTCTTTATTTTATTAGATTTATATATGTGGTTTCTTTCTCTTTATTAAATCAAAGGATGATCAAATTTGTGATTATTGTAAATAAATTTATTAGTTGTTCAATTTATGTGTTTTTGTTTTAGTATTTGATTGTATTTTTCTTAGTTAGTATTGTAAATAAATTTATTCATATATTATTATCTCATTCTATGATCAGATTTGCTAGACGAGTTATGACGGGCAAACGCAAATTCGAATCGGGAAGTTTGAAAAGGAAAAAGAAAGAAAAGCAAGAGATATTAATAAAATCTCTCGCCGGTTCTATGGATAGGTACATAAAACCTACAACTCCTGTAGTAGAAGTTGAAGTGTTTGGTCATACCGAAATTGTGTCGGAAGTACCTGATACACCCTTAGTTGAAATTGGTCGAGATTTAACTGATCGACATCGAATTGATTCAGATGATAATGATAAGGGGGATGAAAATTTTGAAGAAGAAAAAAATAAGTTCGAGAATGCGAATGATAATGAGAATATGAATGATAACCATGATATGGATTGTGAAAATTTGGACGATTTGTTCGATCCAGGGAATTGGGAGGATAATATGCCTCAAAGAAAGATTGATTTTTTAGTCGAGAAATGGCCTTCAGAGTTACTAATGTTGTGTATCCAATTAACGAGAAAGGTAGAAGTTTCAATGATAAACTCTACACTCGATCTTTATCGAATGGGGAAAAACTTCATAGATCATGGTTTGTGTACTCTCAGAAGAAGGATAAAGTATTTTGCTTTTGTTGTGTTCTGTCCAAGAGGGATCAAATTACATCAAGTCCCTTAACAACAGCAACAACTGGTTATGATGATTGGAAAAATATTTATCAGAGACTTAGCGATCATGAAAGAAGCGTTCATCGTATGAATCATTTAGCAGATTGGACAGAGGCTGGAAAAAGATTGAAAAAAAAAGAAACAATTGACTCTGCAAAATCAGAGGTTCATCGAGAGAGAGAGAGAGAGAGAGAGAGAGAGAGAGAGAGAGAGAGAGAGAGAGAGAGAGAGAGAGAGAGAGAGAGAGAGAGAGAGAGAGAGAGAGAGAGATAAAGAGATCTTAGAGAGATGTCTTGAAGAGAATCTTTTGTGTTGTCAAAACTCTTGCTAGTTGTAATTTGGCATTTCGTGGGCAAAGCAAAAAACTTGATGATCATAATAGTGAAATTTTTTTTAAGCATTATTAAAATAATAGTTGATTTTGATCCGATCATGGACGAGCACCTACGATATATAAGGAAAAAAGAGATTAAACGTGTCCATTATCTTGGCCATAATATTCAAAATGAAATTGATTCTTTTGTTGGCGGGTGAGATAAAGAAAAAGAGTCTTGAGATTGTTAGAGGTGCAAAACACTTTTCTGTAATTCTTGATTGTACTTCGGATGTAAGCCATGAGGAGCAAATGTCTCTCGTATTGAGATGTGTTGATGTTTCAAAGACTCCAATTACAGTTGAGGAGTTTTTTATTCAATTTATAAATGTTGGTGAAACAGTAGGAGATGCCCTCTTTAATGAGCTTAAATATATTTTGAGTATATTGAATTTAGATTTAAGTGACTTGAGAGGGCAAGGCTATGATAATGGTGTTGGGATCAATGAAGATCTCGTTATGCACAAATCACGAATTCAATAGCAAAACGTAAACCTATGCGCAGCGGATCTAAAGGTTTGTGTAGAGAACTTACGGTTTAAAATTTATGACAATCGGCTGATCTTCTGGATGGTTGTACACAACACACCAATGAATAGTTGACTGCAAATTGCGTCCTAGGGTTGCACGAACAAGATCGGATCGAAAACCTGATCAAACGGGTGCAAAAACGGAAGAAGTCAAGATGCACTCCTGGGAGCTTCTGGCAGCGCGTGAGGGCGCGTCCGTCGTCGGATGGTGGAGATCTCGGCAGCGTTGGAAATCTCTCGACGAGGCGGTTGTCTGGGTATGCTGCACGTCTTGATCGGACCTCCCGTTAGTTCTGTACGACAAAATATATTTCGTCTCACTTTACCCAAAGATCTTCTACTGTATATCTCAAACACCTCTTAATCTTGTACCGGTGGAACAATAAGAAGAAGATAAAGCTCGAATGGAAACTGAGAGAGAGAAGAGGGGCGTGGGGTGTGTTTCACAAGATGTGGAATTCTCTTCTGTTCCCATGAGTTTAATGATGTATATATAGAGCTACAGTAGGGATCCTTAGCAGATTAGGATTAGGGCTCCTTAATTAATTAAAATAATTGTGGACCAAGCCACTTATATTAACTAATTAAATAATATTAAATAGGCCACCAACATAATATTATTGTACTCCCTTTTCCTAGCCCAATTTACAATTGAGACTCCAATAATAACTACTCGATTTATCTCCCCATATATAATGTCCATTAATTAATTCGATTACTGACAATAAATAATTAATTAATTAATTGTTATTTCACCGAAGCTAGCGCTTGTTCAACACATTATTACTATGCCGGGATTTAATCCACCTGCAGGGTTTTGCATAATAATCCTTCATGAACTCACTCCGGGGACATCATCAAACTGACGCACATGGTGACCGTAAATATCCTAACAGCACATCCTACATGTAGCAATATTACCCAAGACAGCGGGTCTATTGGCCAGTTCACTAAGTCTCACCCATGTGAATCAAAGTAATAAATACTACACATATATGTCTGTTTAATATCTTACGGGTTAAGAGTACGCAGTAATTAACCGAGGCCTAGTTCGTTTATGACGATCAGTATAAAACGAACTGCTCCTCTCTGGGATCCTGTTCAATACATAAATGTACTAGTGCCACTAATCAGTCAAGACAAACTGTACAGTTGACTCTACAACCGTTCACGATGGGTGTTCATGTCCATCTGGGTTGTGAACCACTTATTCTTGTTTCGCAAGTAATTGATAGCATGATTTTCGGTTCGCCCGATGACGACCCACACTATCTAATGCAAAACAACATAACGTTGAACTTGTTTAATCTAACATGTTTCTCATTCATA